ATCTCATTGGACACCCGAATATAGTAAAACTACCGTTTGGCTTGCAGCTATAATTATAAAACTTCTCACCGCTACGGGTTGGTATTATAAACTCGACTGCGATACAACGGCAGAGAGGTTTTTATTCGCAATACACAGGCATATGCCAATAGACACATCATGGTTAACATTCAGCAAACAGATATGGCATATTCTACAGTGTTCGTCACTGGATTGGACGTCTTCTTCTTGGTCGTGCCGTAGTTAGCAAACCAGATGTTAAACGCAAATGGTTCCTTCCTGATCATACGCAGTGGGTGAATCAAGTTTAATAGCTGAAACGCTTTCTTCCTATTCGTTCCGTTATCTACAAGACATACTGTATGCTGACGCGCGGGAACTTCCGGTGTTGTCAGTCCGACTGTTCTGTAGACAGAATAGTTGCTACGACGATTGAAGGGACTGCTTCAATGTAATAAAAAGATTAGCCGACCATTTTAAATGGTTGGACGACTTTCATGGCCATTGCAGTGACTAGAAAAGAAAATTCTCAGCTCCCTCAAAACCAACCTCAGCGCCATGGAATCTAGCAATGATTAAAGTAAGGGATTACATATCCAAGAAAACAACGGAAACGTTTTCTTGCCAGTCATTAAAACAAGACTGAAAGACCTGTCTTTTTGTAATAAGGTCACAAGCAGTAAAGCCAATGATGACGAGAACCTCAGTGAACGAAGCGTCAAAGTTACACTAGGCATATTCCTGGGTAAATTATGCGGAAAGAAAGTAGGAGACCATGTGCTGTAATGACCACAAGGTTGCACAATATGTATTTAAAAATTAGTACTGTTCTCGCTGATGATGTCATACTGCAAATTAGCACCAGGTCAACAAATCAAATGTGGCACAAACTGTGGACGTGCTGAGACAAACACTCAGACGGTTACAGAATTTTCCTCATTTTTCAATTATGCATTATTATCAACGATTTTCAAATAATCACCTAACAATAAATTGCTGTTTAGAGGAAGATACATGCTTGCATCTTAAACAAAACTTTCTCTCGGAAAACGAGTGTCACTGCAAGTTTTATCGGAAGTATCGGTAAACATACATTAAGTGACATCTGAAGAACGCCCCTTAAAATATCTTCACGCCACCTACTATCAACGAGCAGCGAAGTTCGTGTATGCTAAGCTTTGCTGTGGCATGTTTTCCTGCATGACAGTCGTTCCTTGTTCCCCTGATACTGACCGAGAGCACATTCATAGGCAAGTTAGCAGTTGCAGATCGTAGTTGATATGTAGGATTCCGGAAACAAGGAGACGCTACCATTATGACACATTAATTCGGGAAAACGATGTGTATTTGATAAACATTTGTCAATCGAGCAAGCCTTAGCCTCTGTTTAGAGAAGGAATACATCGCATACCATTTAGCGCTAAATCCTTCAGTCTGGTGCAATTTCTGTCTTAATGACACTTATTGATTCGTCGAGTTTGCAGCATCGTCTTAGCTTTGCTCTCAGACTCGATATCGGGGAGTAAATGCTAATGCCAGAGACAAACGTCAGAAAAATTCATTGAACATTTTGTAAATAAACTAGCAAAAAGCATGTGACCATGAATCAGTTATCACAAACACCTTAAAGAGAATTTAAGACAGCTCCATGCAACCGAGTAAAAACACTGTAAATGGCTTCATAAAACCGTGCACATAGTCGAGTTTGACAGTACAATATACCTGAATGTAGAGACACCATTTTAAAGCGCAAATTTAGGCATCATGCATTATCAGTACAAAGTATAATACAACAAGCATTATCTTAGCATCGAACAACTAAGTCCTTCGTCCAGCCCACAATCTAAGAGCACACAAAAAGCAATAAAAATAAACGAATGATCCACGCTGGCAGTCGAAATGAAACGGTCAAGTCGAGACACCAACTTTAAATACGTTCTTTCTTTCTGGCAACTAAAAAACCTTGATTATTAGAAAACTATAAAAAACAAATTAGTTAATTTTTTTGACAGTCTCGTAATAATACCACAGTCGATACTGAACTTGATTCGCGCCCTTCTGCAATAGGAGCCAATTTGTTGTGAGTGTTGCTAGCAGCTTTCAGTCACAAGTGCTATGCAGAATGGAAAACGAAATCTTAACTTATTTTCGCTTTAAACTAACGTTTCGTTTCAGATTGTTTTTGATAAATTAGGATATAAATATACCATGAAGCAGTGAGGTCTTCTGATGAAAATCTCTTTTCATGCTGCCAACCATGGAACCAGAAAACTTATCAGCTTTATGTCATCCACGGTATGGAAAATGTTTAAGAAACTATTAAGATGCACCAATATTTATCGTTTTCACTTGTCGCGTTTTACATCCTCCAGCTCATGGAGGATGAATAATCCACCCACTGTCAATATCTTTTGACTATTTGTCAGAGACAAGTTAATAATGTTAGTTTCAGAAATTCCTTCTCTCGCTTTGCAACTACTGCCAATTCAACTCTCAACAAGAGACTACAATCACAACTACGCCACATTCGTGACTATTACAGATGCTGTTATCTGACATTTGTCTATTCTGCTAGTTACAGCGAAATCGATAAAAACTGTTTTAAACACAGTCGTCATCTGCCACGCACATTTCCCGGATTTTCAGTCATCAAGTTGATATTTATCATACCTTTGTAAACTTGACGACGAGGACTTTCACTGATTCTTGTATTTCTATCCTTATTAATATGTACAGGTGCTAAAACCATCATTTTCGGGTTTGTGTAAACATATAAGGCGTAAATCTCATGTAACGTTATTGGTCACGAGGGAGGTCTCGTTCTAGAAAAATCACTGATGCAATTACACAACTGGTGACAACGGAGGCATCGTTCTAGAAAAATTACTGATGCAATTACAACTAGTCCTGAAGTGGTTGATCCATTATGAAGCTGAGACTGTTCAATAGACACTGTAAAGGGCGTACAGTATGTAGTAAAATCTGTCTTCAGAAGAATAACGCACTCATCAAACTCATGCTTTGATATATAGATAAAACAAACTGTTCAAGTACAGACTGGTTAGAGTCAGCCTTTCTTCGTCTAATGCTGGAGACAGCCACCTCCAACACTTTGCTATAAACAAGTTTTCTGTAAATATGTTACACCGCCTTGTAATTTAATGTAATGTCTTTTTGGTCCAGCGATGGACAGCTCTACTTGCAAAGTGCCTCGGCCAACACTACTTCTTCACCCGTGCAATGAGGATGCGGACCTTATTCTCTTACCCATTTATTCATCTTCCAATGGTTACTTAATATTCCCAACATACATCTTTTCATGCTATGCTGCACAGTTTGCGATGAATAGCTCATATATGTAAGTACGTGTTTCGTATCCACAGGGTAGCCATAAAAACATAACACGGATCGAATACACAAGGGTAGTTTCCCGTATAGAAATATTTTCACCCTTCCAAAAGCGCTTCATATCATTGTTATTCCTCTGTTAATTTCACAGAGCTGGTTCTTCGCTGTATAACTTTGCTGTCCCGATAGAAGCAGTTTGGCACCTGTTCAAGCCCAGCCTGTAGACTTCAACAAGTCGCGGGGTCACGTTTTTGTTAAACATGACCTGAGTCATCTTCCGATTCATCTTTAGTCCTACTTTGATGCTGTTCAGCGCCTGGATTTCCTCTGCTGACCTTGAAAAGATTAAAATGTCATCGGCAAACAGAAGGTGGTTGCCTAAGTAGTGCCCGTTTATCTTCAGCCCCTTATTTACCAAATGGATTGCCTTGAAAAACTCTTCAATGGCTGCTGTGAATAACTTTGGTCATACTGCGCCTCTGTGTTAGAAGATTTTTGATGTTGAACTTGCACGTGGTTCTCTGAAGCTTTACACCAGCAGCCTGCATGGCGATGACAACTCTATATCGTTTTCCGATTTCCTGGCTCCTTAACGAATTCACTAGAGACCGCGAAATCGACGAACCCGGGTAGACAAGAAGCTGCTTTTCACTGGTTGCTTGCTCACGTTGCTAATTATTTGTTGTAATATCCTAAAACGAAGGACCGTATTAAATTCATTTATGAATACTGCTTCCTTCTTTGGCCGTGCAAAGACCGGATTGTCTTGAAGCATGTTCGTCAGAACCTTGGAGAAGATACTGTAAATGATTGGTACCAAACTGATCCTCTTTCTCTCCCTTTTTATACAGTAGAATCATCGATAGTCTAATCATCTGGAATTTTCAAACAGTTTCTTGAAACAGATTGAAAATAAGAGACCCATTTCTTGGTCGGTGCTTCACCTTTTGATTTTACGACCTCCACAGTAATGTCTTTTACGTCAACAGCTCTTCCGTTTCGCTTGTATCATTGCATGCGGTAGTTTCTGCGGATAAATATCTGCAATTTCGTCTGTTCGTTTGTTTCGCCGTGTTCACTATCGTCATCTGATGCGTTGTGATTTTCATATTTAAACAGCTGCCTATACAAATTTTCTACTGTTTTCGAAATCTCATGCCTGTCACTGATGACAATCCCGCGTTCTCATTTGAGAGCCACAATCTGCATTTTCCCGACGTCATTCTTCGGTTCAATTTCTTCACTCTTCGACTGTCTTCAATAACTTGCTTAACGGTCTGCAGCTGAATTCTAAGATGTCTTCTTCCCAAAGCTGAAAGTATTCAGTCTTTGAATTCTGTCCTGTTCCTGCCTTCAGCTTCTCTTCGCTTCATAAGGCAGTTTTACGTTTGACTCGTGATTACTCTGTCCATGAGGAGAACGTGTTACTGGTCAGTTTCCACAGATGCTAAAGCTAACAGTCAACTGTATCCATTACTCAAGGTATCCCCTTCACGTCAATATCTGTAATTTCGTGAGTTTAATGATCTAACGAAGACGCAAAAGGCAAACGATTAATAAAATGCGTTTAAAATTCGAATCTACATCAGGAAATGCCAAAATGTAAAAAAAGACTGACCGCCTTAATGGCACAATACAAATAGTTTACTTTTTCATCGCACCACAGGAGACGTCACGTTACGCTGTCGCGCTATCTCAGCTTTTAGTTTTTGAACTTTGTCCATTAGGCCTTGCCTAGTTCGCAACATCTGACGGAATACCACCTGCAGATCTTCCTAAACACAGTTACGTAAAAAAAGTCGAAAAGACTGAAAGGCATGAGAATTAGAAACGACCACAGAATGCTATTTAACATCGCCGCATTCTTCAGAACCTCTGCGATATAACTCTTCGTCGAACACCTATAGCTGATCGGTGTACAAACCATGATCTCGAAAGAAAAAGCTACTAATAAAACGATTAGGAAAAGCTCAACTACGAAGACAGAATTTAGAGAAAAGGAGCCTTCGCCACAAAGGATTAATTAACGGACAAAAGATGATTCGGGGAGGAATGTACTGCTGTGAGTAATTACTGAAAAATATCCCGCGCCATACGTGTAAAGTAACCCTTCTCACGGAACCTGCATAGATCGGTTCAGAGGTTCATGGATATATCAGCGGCAGATAAGGCTTTCTGGCATGCAATGAAATGATAAGCTAGTTGTTCAGGACAGAAAACCTCGAATATGGCTGTCATACAGATAGAAGCTACATTTAGCGTAAGTTTACAATAATATACATGTGAAAGTCTGGGAACGCGACCAGGATGACAGGGGAAACTTGTAAGAAAGACAGTCTTCGCAAAGCCATAGAGCGGGCGAATAAAGAATCGAGCCAAGATAAACTGGTTCGAGTATACCGAATATCTAACTTCCTGACACTTGGGACTCTAGTCCTCAAAATTAATCTGATGGGCAAATGGCGGACACCATTGATAAACTCTGTCCAAAAAATGCTTAATATAACTCGTGATTTTCGGCAGAAAAAAACCATTCTCACCAATCTTTGATTAGAATTATCGGCCGGATTCCAGCGTAAGTAATACTCGTTCCACAGCTTCAGTCGGTGGCCTGAACAACAAGGCAGCAAGACGTGGGAAGCGGTGAGCGTATTGTATAACGGGTTGAGATAGCGTTCGAAATCGCGGTTGATCAACGACCAGAGAGACGCTGTCCTCTGGCGCGCCATCTTAAATTTTTAAAACATCAGTTTCATTTTAGAGGCATAAACGAAAAGAATAGGATGCTCACTTCTCTGCATCGCTGTTGCTCGCTGTTGAACAAAAATGTACCAAATCTACAGCTGTAGAGGTGATCCAAAATGTTTATGAGAAAAACGATGTTGAACTCGAAAGCAGTGGGAAACTGAAAGCAAACAACTCAAGAGGGTATGTCAAAACTCGGAAACAAGAAAATCAAGGTTAACAATGAGTCTTGATTAATTTCACATGACAAACACAAGTATATCGTAAAATCAGGTACAAACTCACTTGAACGGTCAACTGGTATACACAGTCGATAAATTGAAGAAACACCGGCGATCTTTCGGTATCAGAATGTTTCTCGTCGCCATGACCAATTCTCTGAAGTCGGTGCGACGTAACACCAGCCAGTCAGACAATCCGCCTATATGTTACCTGAGCAAATTTGTGTCCAAAGGAACACCATTCTTTTTCAATCAAAACCTGAAAACCCTTCAGCGTGCGATAATAAGGATCAATCATCAACATGGCCAATGCCGTCAACTAAATAGGATCAAACATACATTAGCATGAGTCACACAAATTTCGACAACCAAAAAAACCTGTGCCGTTCGATCCCATCCGTCGCTGCAGTGTACCAGCACTGATGTCTTGTGGTTCTCAATTTTATCAACGATTCGAGCGGCACCGGACAGAATGAGCTAAAGTAAATGTTCGAAATAAACCAAATGGAAATATGGGGACAGTTCAGGAGAAACAGAGACCTTAACTTTAACATTAAAATAACATTTCTGCCCTTCTTAGCTTTCCCTCTGGCTATACCGCTCAGCACATTTCTTTAAGCTGCAAGTTCGCTTGAGAAGTCAAGAAAAACATGGTTGCAGGGGCAAATGCGCTGAACTTCTAAGTTAAAATAATCGGAAACCTTTCAAAACGATATGAAGATAGGTTCGAATCCGGAAATCTCATGAACCCCAAACTGTTGAATAAGGATGCGTGGAAAAAGAATCGCCATATTCAAGAAGATACTGGGTGCGGATGAAAACGTCGAAGTAGCCGCAATGTACAACAGCTGACAATTAAAGGATCATTCTTCCTAACTAACAGAGATCCCACAGCCTAGTCTCGATATCCACGCACGTCTGTCTCAGACGATTTGTCGCCTGTAGCTTTCATATCTCTCTTACAGCTCATCGTCCCGTCTGAGCCGAGGCATTCTAGATGAGAGCTTGCAGTTCCTTGGGAACAAATCCGTTACTGCTGAAGTCTAACAGTAATCCGTCGCTCGCGCGATATAACTCGACTGGAGCTGTGTGAATGTAACCGTCCATTAAGTGACATGGCATGGCCGTAACGACGCTTCATCTAATGAAGTCCATTTCTGATCATGCTTTCAAGTGTTTATGTTTTGTCCAAGACGTCTGAAGTGCCTGGAAAGCAACCAAAACCATTTGTCAAGATCGAAAAAATGGAAAGTACAAGCAAAAAGATACCAAAATATTCTGTAGAAATTTGGTAAATTCTTTTATGAATCTGAACCGGAAGGAAGAGAGAGATTGCCAAAACTTTCTTCTATAAGACGAATTTTCCTCAAAACAGTTTAGAATTTAAAAAGTAATGGAGCAAGGTTGCGCAAATACTCCTCATCATTCAGTCAGAGATTACGGTACATCTGATGGATAGTCGATTAGCAAAACTTGAGGGTCTCACTGCTAATATTCCTCCATTTCTTGTGGGAGATCGGATCGCAGGTAAAACTGAACATAGTCACGTCGCGGAAATGCAATTTAATGTTCGAGTATTGAGGGCCATGGAACTGATAAGAGTAAATTAAACACTCACACATGACAAAACGCCTATGTTACTTGTTTATAAAAACCTGTAGGTCTTTACTGTGGTTTCATTTCTGTTCTTTTAATAGCATTTAAGCAAATAAATATCAACGTCATAATCCACGCTCTCCGATGAGAAAAAAATACCCGGATGTGG